AGATCTTTGAGGCAGTGATTATCTAATACTACTTGTCTAACTTGGAACTCTTTAGAACATACTGGTTCAGAAGATACTCATCTCTTTATATATTATAATATTGCACTATAAAGGTAAAACTTAATAAAATCATTAAAATTAGAAAGGATCAAAGGAATCATTTAGTCTAATAAATTTCCATGTCACCTCTCAGTCAACATGACCCCAGCAAGTCAAAGGGAGAATCTGGATACAAATGTATGGATTTGTCAATAGAATTCCTATTAACAGTGTCCCTGAAAGACAGTCATCCAGAATCTACTTGAATATTTCTAGGGATTTTGAACTTAGAATCTCATAGGCAAGTCTATTTAATTTGGAGACAACTATAATTATTAGAAATTTCTTTTATTTCGACAAAATAAACTAGATGATCACCCTGCTTACTCTATTAGTACTTCCATAATTTCTTAAGAAAGCCAAGAAGACCTTAACCCTTCCCCTTACCCTATAGAACCCTTGGTGGACTTCCTTTAGCAAACTGATGTGAGGATATGAGAGTCATCTAGGATAAGTGAGCATGGATTGGTTGTGGTCTGTAGCATTGGACAAAATGCCCACATTGGTGAGATCACAGATCCCCTGGCATTTTAGAAGACACTTTCTTGTAACTGCCACCAACTGGTTTTGGATTTTCCTTATAACATCATGTTAGTTAAGAATAACTAACTAAGAATAACTAAAGCAATATACTCCTGCTATAATTTTGAAAATATGGAAAAATATTTAGATAATTCGACAAAATGTTCATTTAAAGAAGTTATTCAAAATACGGCACAGAGAGGTTAAGTGATTGCCTTAATATTAAACAAATAATGGCATAGTACAGATATGTTATATGGGCCTATATGTTATGGGGGTATCAGATGTAGCAATATAACATTCAGTCAGACCATTCAGGAGAATCTACCTTAGCCCTGGTGTCTTCAAGTCTCCTTTGTTCATCCAGGTCCTGTGGATTATCTGAGGGAATTTGAACTAAGCTAAAAAATAGTTGCATTCAACTACATTCTTATGGGTATACTGTTGCTTAACTCTTCTTATTGACATAGTTAACTCTCAAGAAGTCTAGTAAAACAGGTCTCTGAATTATGAAGAGACTTTATTTGACAATATTTGTGGGCCCTTTCTGCTCTGTTTGTGATTATATTATCTGAAGTGATAACTATTTTGCAGAAGCTAACCTTTCTTTAACCAGCAGAACAAAAAAAAATTCAGATATTTTCTAGTTATTTCCATGTTAATTTGTCTTCTATCATACCTTTATAGCTTTACTTTCAAATACCTTCCACTAGAAGTAAAAGATACATAATTTTCTTCATTATAGCAGTCAAAGGATTTACCCTGAGAATCAAAAAGTCCAAAACTGATTACAACCAATTTTTTTGGTAAAGCAATTTTGGGTTAATCAATATTTATTGAATGCCTACTATATGTCAGGCTTTGTGCTAAGCACAAAGGATAGAAAAAAAGCAAAAAAAAATAGTCTCAAGCCATAAGGAACTTATAATCTGATGAGGGAGACATGCAAACAAATATGTACAAAGCAAGCTATATACAGATAAACAGGAAATAATTAACAGAGGGAAGGTGCTAGAATTAAGACAGGTTGGGGAATGATCCCAGTAAAAGATGAGATTCTAGTAAGGACTTAGGGGAAGCTAAGGTAGAAAGTAGCAAAGTAGTAGAAAGAGCAGAGGAGGGAAAGCATTATAGATACAGAGCCTAGAGATCAAATGTCTTGCTCATGGAACAACAAGGAAGCCAACCTCACTGAATTGAAGAGTATCTGTTGGGGAGTGAGATAGGAGGGGGCTAGGTCATGGAGGCCTTTGAATGCTAAACAGAACCTTTTTATTTGATCCTGGTGCAATAAGGCGCCATTGGAATTGATTGAGTAAGAGGGTGACTTGATCAGATCTGTGCTTTAGGAAAATCATTATAATAACTGGATAGCATGGGGAGAGACTTGAGGCAGGAAGATCCATGAGCAAGCTATTACAATAGTCCAGGTATGAGGTGATAAGGGCCTGCACTAGAATGGTGACAGTGTCAAAGAAGAGGAGGCCTGTAGAAGAGATGTTGTAAAGGTGGAATCAAGAGGCCTTGGCAACAGTTTGGATATGGTGGGTAAAGGGTAGTGAGGAGCCCAGTATGATTCCTAGGTTGTCATACTGAGGGACTGGGAAGATGATGCCCTCTATAGTAACAGGGAAAGTAGGAGGGGAGTGGGGAGTTTAGGGGAAAAGATAATGGGTTCCTTTTGGGCTATATTGAGTTTTTGATGTCTACTGGACATCCAGTTCAAGATGTCTGAAAGTCAGTTGGAGATGTAATATTGATAGTCAGTAGAGAGGTAAGTTTGACAATCATCAGCACAGAGATGGTAATTTAGTCCATGGAAGCTGATAAGATCACCAAGTGAAATAGTATAGAGGGAGAAAGAAGAAGGCTTGGAACAGAACCCAGAGGAACACCTGCAGCTAGAAGGCATGTTCAAGAAGAGAATCTACCAAAAGGAGTAGTCAGATAGGAAGGATAAGAACCAATAGAGTGTGTCCTGAAAACCTAGAGAGCTGAGAATATCAAATAGAAGAGAGGGAAAAAATGTTAAAGGCTGCAAGAGAGGTCAATGAGAATAAAGCTAATGAAAAGACCATTGGATTTGGGAACTAAGAGATCATTAGTAACTTTGGAGAGAGTAGCATTAGTGGAATGATAAAGTCAGAAACCAGATTGTAAGCAGTTTAGAAAAGAGTAAGAAGAGAGAAAGTAGAGACACTTATTGTAAATCCCAGAAGTAATAAGATAAATCTGGAGATATATTTATCTACAGTTCCTGAAGGACTCTATTTGCTTTGGATTAGCTGTTAATCTCACTGAAGCACCTATATATTTTTATGTAGTATGTATTATCTGTAAATTCACATGGCATAAAGGATAGAATATTGGACTTGAAATCAGTAAAACCATAGTTCAGATCCCACCTCTCCCTTTAACTACCTGTGTGAAATTGAGCAAGTCACTTAACTTTTCTTAGTCTCAGTCTCCCCATCTATAAAATAACAGGGAAGGACTAAATTACTTCCAAAGTGCCTTCTAGCTCTGAGTTTTTGCTCTCTTTTCTCTCTATTTCACTATTATCTAGATCATACTGTTAAACTCTGAGCTTGCTGAAGAGTAAAATGTAACTGGAAAATGTTCTTAAAAATAAAATAAATAACATGTAAGATATATAATGTTAATTTGTGGTTTTCTAAGTCAATACGCAGCACATTGGGACTGATCTAGATGGTTGTTCAAATACTCAGGTGAGGAAGAAATAAATAACAAATTAACTTTAAGGTTACAAATAGAATTCACTAAATTCTAATGCTATTATTTTATGGTGGTAATGAAGGTGACCCTGGGCTCTCAGAGGCTATACCAATGATTTCCAAGCTTGAAAGGCTTTGAATAGGGATTTAGCAATAGAATATAGGATTGTTGCCCAAGGACAAGCTTAAGTTCAATGAGGGTTATGATCAGGTTGTTGTCCAGTGATATTTTTAAAAAAAGAAAGAGGGTCACAAATATTCATGAAGATCATTTTCAAAAGTATTGAGGGGTTGCAACCAGTGTCACTGGAATGGTCTCATTGATAAAGTCATAGGCCTTTTGAAGTGTTGAAAAAGTTGGAGATAGTGAACATAAAAGAAATCTGAGGACTCAAATCCCCAGATTCAAAATGAAATGAAGATTGGGGATTTTTTCCAGTCAGATTAATAAATGAAGATAGCCCTACTATTAACTTATACCAGTAGGCTAATTTAATAGTCTGCATTGGCCCACCTTGCCAGACAAATATTTTATTATTTGATCCTGTCAGTAAGCACAGCCTAGATTGCTTTTTCATGTTCATTCCTCATCTTTGTCTTGGGTAGTTTTAACATGTCTGTGGGATCATTTCTCTCATTGTTCCACACCCTCAAAAGTATTAATCCAATCATGGACATCATATCAGATTTCAAAGAGATCATAAGCGGCTCAGGAGCATTACAGAGAGTCGGCAAATAGATTTTGTTCGGAGACTAGCTTTCATAAAACTTACCTGAGTAAGAGGAAGACAACAAAGTAGCAGAAATTATAGTAGGAAAACATATAAATAGGTGCCATTGGTCTTCTTTTGATTTGATTGATTCCTAGCATTAGTAAAACTAGAGACACATTAAGTAGAGTTATGTGCCTAGCTATTAATGTTCAATTCCAGGGCCATCTTCTGTTTTCAGTTATATATGCCCACTTCAAAGCCTAATGTAGCTCACAGCGACTCACATGCAGCTCCCTTGGAAATTGTGTGTGAGCAGCCAAGGGCAGAATTTAATATACTACAGCCCACACAACAGTGCTAAACATAAAAATTCCAATGTATTTTATCTTTTAATAAATTTTCTGAAAGGAAATCAAGATTCTAGAGGGAAAAATGAGTATTATCACAGAATAGAGCTTAATGTAATTGCTTCAAATTTAGGAACAACTTAGCACGCACACAAACTCCTTCTCTTATCCTCTTTGCCCAATAAGGCTAATTTTATGATGTTTCATTTAAAATAAGTTTATTGAATTAAACTCAGTAAATGAAACAAATGACATGACTGGAGCTTGAAATAAACTGTTATGATCTAATGAAATACATAACGCAAAAATGTCTTGCTTTTTATGCAAAAGTATTATTAGTCAATAATAATGCATGAATAATTAAGGTCACAAATATGTTAGGTATTTCAGTTCTCAATAATATTTTGAACCAGTCACATAGGTTTTAGACCATGATATCCACATTTTTTTAATTTTACTTAGGAAAAGTATGTTGATCAAATCAGCCCATTGTCAATTTTTTAATTTGTTTTAATTATTTGATGTGTTGCCTTTTTAATGAGTTAATTTTCTGTATTATGTTTTCCCATTTCTCTTTTTTCTAGAAAGTACCAAATATTCTGACTTCATCTTATTTGCCAGAAGGTTTTTCTGATTTTGCTTTCCATTTACACTTTTCATACTTGTGGGTTTGTTTGTTACATTCCTTGTTTGTTTCTCTAAATCGATCTATTCTGTTAAATGTTTTAAAAAGAGTAACCTTTTTTGTTCATTTGGTTTTTTTAAAGATTTTTCATTTTACATTTTAAAAGCCTCAAGTAGCCTTGAATAGATCAAGTTAGAAGGACTAAACATTGGTTGGTAGAAAAATGTTTCATTCTTTGACTGATTAAGCATTCTGACATTTCTTTCCTTTCATTTGTACGCCAGGTGGTTGTGAATGCCCTTTTAGGAGCCATTCCCTCCATCATGAATGTGCTTCTGGTTTGTCTTATATTCTGGCTAATTTTCAGCATCATGGGAGTCAATCTGTTTGCCGGCAAGTTCTACCACTGTGTTAATACCACAACTGGTGATATGTTTGACATCTCACAAGTCTATAATCGTTCTCAGTGTTTTGAACTTATAGAAAGAAATGAGACTGCCCGGTGGAAAAATGTTAAAGTAAACTTTGATAATGTAGGATTTGGGTATCTCTCTTTACTTCAAGTAGTAAGTAAACACTTTCTGTCAATATTTCATTATTGTGTGTGTTGATGAAAAAATTTAAAAACACTTATTTGTAATTTGGTCATTAAGAAAAAGAAAACATCCTTAATTTCTTTTGTCTGTTTTTTTAGCATGTCAGCATAAGCTAATGGGAAGTTACTAATGTGTGGTAGCCAGGAATTTGTAGCATCTAAAGCAGGGGTGGGGAACCTGTGGTCCAAGGCCACATATGACCCTCTAGTTTCTCAAATGCAGCCCTTTGATTGAATCCAAACTTTACAGAAGTCCCCTTAATGAAAGGATTTGTTCTGTAAAACTTGGACTCAGTCAAAGGGCCACACTTGAGGACCTAGAGGGCCACATGTTGCTTCAAGGCCTCAGGGTCCCCACCCCTGAAAAGAGTGATTTAGCTGTCTCTTCCTCAGTTGCCATCTTCCAATTTGAATGCTTTGATTTAACTTTTTCTTAATTTTATGTAAGCTTTACTTATACTAATATATGTATATTAATAAATTTTACTAAAAATAACAGGTCACAAATAGCAGAAAATTCCACTAATAAAATGGGAACTATATATTATTATCAAGTAGAAAAGTAGATAGATAGATAGATTAAACATGTTATATAAAAAATGCACTGAGCTCATACTGTGTGTTTTAAATATCTATCAATTTATCATTAGTGCATCTATCATTAAGTTCATCTACAAAACATCATATTCTTGACATATTGACTGTGTGTTTTAAATATCTATCAATATATCATTAAGTTCATCTACAAAATATTGAGTTCTTGACAGATTTTAACAATCTTTATATCAAAGTTAAACATATGTATCATATTTACAGGCCACATTTAAAGGATGGATGGATATTATGTATGCAGCTATTGACTCAAGAAATGTAAGTACAATCAGTGTACTAAAGTAGGTTTTGTTTTGTTTTCTTGGTGTTATATAAGTCCTTAGATGCAATTACTAGAACTTGTATAATTAACTGAATTATATAATGAGGAGAATGAAGGGGAAAAAACTGGTGTAATTATTATTAAGAGAAGATTTCATGAAGTACATAATTAAAGAAGTCAAAACATAAGAAAGTTCCACTAAAATTACATTCTGAATTATTTAACATGTTCAAAAATAGATGATAAGTGTATCTTGTTCTATTTAATACTTATATGGAATGGGTCTGGTGACAGACTATGTCTGCCGTCCAAGGACCTGGCTAATTTCAGAGAGATCCATCATCAGATTGTCTGAAAAGTAATGAATTTTTTTGGCCATAGCAATTCTTAAAGATTATCTATCAAGTTTTAAAAGAGTTTCAATGAAGAAAGAGCACCTACACAGAAATCATCTTTAAAGTATTGATGCAATACTTCTACTTAAGTAATATACATATATGTATGTGTTATATGGTCACATCCATCTTTTGCGTCTTAATGTGATAGTAATGACTACTATCTCCATGGGCCAAAAAAAAGAGAGTAGTTCAGAACCATACAAAGAGAGAGACAGACAGAGAATGAGAGAGAGAGACAGACAGAGAGAGAGAGAGAGACAGAGAGACAGAGAGAGAAGGAGAGAAAGATGAAGAAAGGGACAGAAAGAGAAAGAGAGAGAGGTCACAGTAGGTCAGACAGATGTTCTACTGGATCCAGTAGCCTCTCTCTGATAACTGCTAAGGGAAATTTTATGGAAGACTATTCCTGCACACCCTGGGGACAGATTGTAGGTAATTTAGATAATCCCCATCATCTTTATCCTATTTTAATACTCAAACAGATCTGTGATTTCATCAGCTCTCATCAACAGATCACAGAGTGTGTGTATGTGTGTGTGTGTGTGTGTGTGTGTGTGTGTGTGTGTGTGTATGCCTGTCCATCCTGGTGACTCTCATCCTATCCTGAAGGACTTCCTCGATTTCTCCTAATATTGCCAGCATACCAGTGAAGAACTCTGACCAGCTAGCTCTAATCCATTGCTCTAGCTACATCATTGGGCTGATTTTTATCTCTGCCGTATGATTCTTTAACAACATTCTTTACTATCACTCTTTTTGGAGTGCAGAGTTGGTTATATGCTGCAGCCTACTCACACCCACTGTGTGCCTTTCTTTTGCCTTCTGTGTGATGTTCCTCTTTTACCTCTTTGAAGGCAGTGTTGCTTGAGATCTTGTTTCTATACAGCAACAACTTTTTTTAATGCTGTCCTTAAAGTACTTAAATTTATCTAAGCATTCCTCCAAACATTACCAACTTTTAAAAGCCCATTTGTAAAACATTAAAGAAGAAGATGGAAGATTATGAAAAGTATCATCTCACAAAATTGTGAAAAGCTGCTGAGAAGAAAATGAACCTGCAGAAAGCTTGTTTTGATATCCAAATAAATCAGATTATCCTGAGAGTATTTGTAGATGAAATTGGGAAAAGGACAACAGATATGCATGAAATGGAACAAATCTGCTAGGATTTGGTTCTATGGCAATCTGTTCTCAGCAGCAGAGATAAATGGGATTGAATTCCTCACATTTCTCAATACCTGATATACCATGCAAGAGACTGAGAGTGACCGTTAAGATTAATTTGGGAAGAGGAGCTGCTTTAGCCAAATACAAAGAGATTAACTCCATACCAGAGGGAACACAATTTATAATCTTAGAGAGTTGTCTAGAGAACTGAGAGGTTAAGGTACTTGCCAAGGTCATGTAGCCATATGTCAGATGCAGGTCATCCTGGCTGCAAGGCCGGTTTTCTCTCCACTCCGCCACACTGCCTCCCATACACATGTCTGTATATGCAAAATAAATATAAGGAATTTGGAGGGGGAAAGAACTATTAGCTTGGTGAGGAGGGTATCAGGAAAGGATTACTGTAGGATATGGTGTCTGGACTGAGCTTTATAGAAACTAGTACCTCTAAGAGGCAGAAGAGGGAGGGGGGAATAAATTTCAGAAATTGTGACAAGTCTATGCAAAAGTGCAGAGATAAGAATTGGGAAGTCATGTGCAAGAAACAGTAAACAGACCAGTTTGTGAAGGGAATGAAAATTAACGGTAGGAAATTAGCCAGATCATGAAGGTCTTTAGGTGATAAACAGAGGTAATAAGGAGCCAAGAGAGTTTTTTGAGGAAGAAAGTAACATGGTCAAACCTTTAAGTGCTTTAGGAAAATCATCTTGACAACTGTGTGAAGCATGACTGAGAACCTTGAGGTCAGGAACTGAATTTTGCCTTTTTTTTTATATCCCTAGCACTTAGCATCCTTCCTAGAATATAATAGAGATATTTAATAAATGTTTTGTTGACTTGCCTTAGACTAGAGAAGGAAGTGGCTTTTAAGATAGACAGTCCAATAGAAAGCTACTGTAATATTCCAGGCAAGAAAGGGATACAGAACTGAACAAGGCTGGTTGCTCTGTGAATAGAAAGAAGAAAATGGATGAGATAAAGGTCGTGGAGTTAGAATCAACAAGAAATGGGAATTGCTTAGATATGTGGAATAAGGGATAGAGTGGAGCCAAGGATGACACCATGGCTGCACACTTAGGTGACTGGAAGGAGGGTGACACCTCCACAGAAACAGGGAAGTTTGAATGAGGGATTGGTTTTGCTAGAAGGAAGACGAGTTCTGTTTTGGACATGTTCAGTTTGAGATGTCTATGGGACATCCGGTTCAAAATGTCTAATGGTAGTTGGTGATGCAACATTGGATGTCAAAGGGAAAAAAAAGAAAATTAAGGTTGGATTCATAACTCTAGCTGTTACCAGAATGAATCTGATAATTAAACACATGGAAGCTGATGATGTCACCAAGAGAGCAGAGAGAGAGAATCAAAGAGGGCCCAAGACAGAGCCTTGAATGAGAGCAGGATATGTACTATCATCCATCAAAGTAAAGTAAGGAAGGAACAGTCAACCAGGTAGGAAGACAGTAAAGAGAGAGCAGTGTCAGAAACCGAGAGAGGAGAGAGTATCTCAGAGGAATGGAGGGGTAGTCAATATATCAAATGGTAAAGACTGTTAAAAGGACATTAGATCTGACAAGTGATCATTGGCAACTCTGGAGAGGGAAATGTCAATTGAGTGATGAGATTAGAAGATATATTTCAAGAAAATGAGAAGCAGATGGAGGCCAAAAAGGAGGCAAAAAGTATAGGCAACTTTTTTTCTAGGAGTTTGGCTGTAGTAAAGGCCTAGTTTAGATTAAGTAACATAAATTTGGTGTGGACCTCATCAGAACAATTGTGTTACTTCCACAGAAGTATGTAAGTAGAAGTGGATGAGGAGGATGGTGGGAGTAATCCATGAGAAGCAATATCCCAGGGGAAAGGAAAGTCTAGAGTAAATGATAATGTAAAGTAGAACTACAGGCAGCAAGGTGGTGTAGTAGATAGAATGCTGGACCTGAAGTCAGGAAGACTCATCTTCCTGAGTTCAAATCTGGAGTGAGGAAGACCCAAGTTCAAATCCTATCTCAGACATTTACTAGCTGTGCGACCTTGGGTAAGTCACTTAACCCTGTTTGCCTTAGTCTCCTCATCTGTCAAATGAGCTGGAGAAGGAAATGGCAAACCACTCCAATATCTGAAAACCCCATTTGAGGTCACAAAAAGTTGTACACAACTGAGAACAACTGAACAACAACAATGAAGTAAAACTAATTAACTATAGGATCAGATTAGGAAAGGAAGAACATAAGGGAAAAGTCGGGGTGGTAAAAACATCTGGGACAGTATGCAGGGATATAGGGACTAGAAGTCATACAGAATATCCTAGTCAATGTTTAAATACAAGAGGGGTTCCCTACTGAATAAAGAGGTTCTACAGATCCTCTTGTTTGAAGAGGACATTTTACTGATTACATCAGTGAAATCTAAGAAAATTCACTCAAGGAGATTGGCTTATCAATCCAAATAGAAAGAATGAAGCAGATAATAAGTACCTTTACTAGGCATTGTGAGACTGTGATATATATTTGGGCAGGTAGCCTACTGAGTTGGTCTGTGACCCAGAACTGAACAAAAGGACATCAGAGTAGATCACATTTGGAATACTCTATGGTTCTTTCAATAATCCCAAACTATCCATTCACTGCCGAAAAGCCTGCCTTTTTACACACAACTATTTTCCCAGGAATTCTATGTGAATATGAATCATGGATCACCACAATCTGGCAATAACCACAATTGTGGGTGACCCAAAGGACAAATGGAAAGATTTGTGGTGGTTATAAGCAGATTGCTATGTGTCCATTTTCCCTCTAAAAGATTATGCTTAATTTTTCTGGGTATGTGATTCTTGGTTGCAATCCAAGAGTATCATATTCCATGTCCTCCAATCCTTTAGTGTAGAAGCTGCTAATCCTGACTGTGGCTTCTTGATGTTTGAATTGTTTCTCCCTGGCTACTCGCAGTATTTTCTCCTTGACCTGATAATTCTGGAATTTGGCTACAATATTCCTTGGCATTTTCATTTTGGAATTTCTTTCAGGAGGTAATTGGTAGATTATTTCAATGACTTTTTTACCCTCTGGTTCTAGGATATCTGGGTTCCTTGATAATTTCTTCAAAGATGGTATCCAGGCTCTGTTTTTGTTCATGGGTTTCAGGTAGTCCAAAAATTCTTAAATCACCTCTCCTGGATCTATATTCCAGGTTAGTTATTTTTCCAATTAGGTATTTTACATTTTATTCTATTTTTTTTTCATTCTTTTGATTTTGTTTGACTGATTCTCGGTGTCTCATAGAGTCATTAGCTTCCACTTGCCCAATTCTAATTTTTAAGGAGTTTTTTTCTTCAGTTAGATTTGTGTTTCTTTTTCCATTTGACCAATTCTACTTTTTAAGGAGTTTCCTTCTATGGATTTTTTTTTCCCATTTTGGCCAATTCTACTTTTTAAGGATTTTTTTCCTTCAGTCAATTTTGGTGCTTTCTTTTCCAAGCTGTTGACTTTTTTTCATGATTCTCTTTCATAACTCTCATTTCTTTAACCAATTTTTCTGCTGCCTCTTTTATTTGATTTTTAAAATCCATTTTGAGCTTTTCCAAAAGGACTTTTTGAGCTTGAGACGAATTCATATTCCTCTTTCAGGCTTCACAAATAGGCATTATGACATTGTTGTCCTCTTCTGAGTTTGTGTTTTGATCTTCCCTGTTGCCATAGTAGCTTTCTATGGTCAGGACTCTTGTTTTTTGTTCATTTTCCAACCTATTTCATGACTTGTAAAGTTGATCTCTGTTTCTGGAGTACAGGGGCACTGTCCCAAGTTTATTGCACTGGAGGCCATGGACTTGGTCACTGGCTTTCTGTGCCAGGGCCTCCAGGGCTGGCAGCTTGCCCAATGCACTGGGGTGGCCTGGCCTAGCTGTTCCTGTTATGCCAGGGATTCCAAGACTGGCAATTTGCCTGTGGCGCTGGTGCTGGAGGCCTCACAACTGGCCTACTGTGCCTCTGGCCTGCTGAGTCAGGACTGTGGGGCCTTCATTGCTGATCTGTTCTGTGACTAAGAGTCTCTCACTGGTTTGCCCAGACCCCACCTGTACTGGGCTGTACTCCCCTTTTACCCAAGTGAGAAAGGCCTTTCCTGCAGTCCTTCTAAGTTATCTTAGGTTGGAAAATTATTTCACTCCATCTTTTCATTGGTTCTGTGACTCTAGAATTCATTTAGAGGCTTGATTTAATGTCATTTCAAGGGAAACTGGGGAGAGCCGAGACAATTTCCTGGCTTTTCTCTACCATCTTGGCTCTGCCTCCCACTGTCTAACTGTTAAAACCCTATGCAATCTGGCCCCATTCCAACCACCTTAAACATTCCTTTCCCTTCCTCACTCCATGATTAAGCCAAACTGTCTTTCTCTCTGTATCTCAACTAGGGCACTCTCTGTATCTTTGCACTGGCTATCGCAGAAGCCTAGATTTCACTTCCTCATTACCTCTACCTCATAAAGCCTTACTCTCATAGTAAGACAGCTCAAGCACCATCTTCATGAAATCTTTCCTGATTCTCTCCCCTAACCACTAAAACGACCTTCCTCAGACCTTCTTGTATTTCACTACTTTGTATTTATTTATATTTATGATCTTCATGCTGTATATATTTTATATGTATCTGTTGTCTTTCGCATTAGAATGTGAGCTGTTTGTGAATAGGACTTGCTTGCACTTTATCTCCAAAACTTAGCACATATGATTAATTTCATTGTGTAAGTATTATTCCCACTGACACCTTTACATACCTATTCAGTACCTCCCTATTGCTTATGGAAGGAAAGAAGGAAACAAGGATCTATTAAGCAATTACTATTTGCCAGTCATTGTACTAAGTACTAGGGATATAAATACAAGCAAAAAGAAAGACTGCCCTCAAAGAGCTAACATCCTAATGAGAGACTGTAGCGGAGGAAGACACAAGCATTTGAACAACCAAGGAGGGAGATAACAAGTTTGAGGGTGGATGGGGGGGCAGAGAAGGAAGAAGAAATCAGAAGGAACAAGGGATAAAAGTACCTGACACTAGTGCAATAGTTTTGAAGTCCAGAAACCAAGAACAGGTCCAGAAGGAGAATGAAAGGCGGCATGGACCCCTCAACAAGATAGAGGCTCCAGGAAGAACTCACCAGTGGGAGAAGAGGATGGGTTTTACAGAGAGATGTTCCAGGTAGAGAAGACTGAAGGGGTATTTGGATGTCCCAGTGTGAGGAGGCTCTGAGCACTGAGGAAAGTTCCAGATAAGACAATGGCAGAGACATGGTTTTGAAGTCTAGAAGCCAGGAGCAGGTCTTAGAGGAGAATGTTATTAAATACAAATTCCTTAGCCTAGCATTTAAGGCCTTCCACATTCAGACTCTAAACTATCTCTCCAAACTCATTTTACATTTCCTGTCCACTTCACATGCATTCTATAGTCTAGCTAAACTGGACGACTTGATCTTTCCTAAACTCCCAAACTAAACCATTTCATACCTCATGCATTTATATGCGCCATTCCTATACCTTGAATGTACTCTTCACTGCTGCCTTTAATTACATTTGTAATTACCGTTTATATCTCTGCTAATATCATCTTACCAACGGAATATAAGCTTTCTGGGGATTAGGACTATTTCATTCTTGTGTTTGTGCTGTACCTAGCACAGTGCCTTGTCCATAGTAGGTCCCTAATAAAGATTTGTTGAATTGTTTGTTGACCTAGATCTCAACCCACTCTGTGCCTTAATAGATAATCTTTGTGAGATACTACTGCCCCCGAAAAAAATAATCCATCACCTGGTGACTACCTTCTATCACTGATTAGCTAGTCTAATCACCCCACATAAATATAGTCCATTCAGGGGCCCATTCTCTAAGCCTTTCTAATTTAGCATGTCAACTGTGCTCTACTAGTATAGTCTTCAAGACTCTACTCTAATTCACAAGGAAATGTGCAAGTAAGACTGTAGTGGAGGAAAACAGCAGTATTAATTTTTCATGAGATAATTTAAGAAATTGAATTTTCATTAATATCTGTTCAAATGTCTAGATGAAGACTAAAATATTTATCACTAGTCTAGATGGCACAATGAATAGAGAGTTGGATGTGGAGTCAGGAAAATTGAGTCCAAAATAGCCTCAGATATCTACCAGCTGTGACTCTGGGCAAGTCACAACTCTCTGCCTTGGTTTCCTCATCTATAAGAAGGGGATAATAATAACACCCACCTCCCAGGATTGTTGTGAACATAAAATGAAATAAAATTATCACACACTTTGCAAACCTTAAAGCACTATATAAATGATAGCTTGTTATTATTATTATTATTATTGTTAGCCTTTTTTGTACATCATGTCAAACATCTCAGCATTTCTAAATACACTTTATACATATTAGGATTAAGGCATAAACTTTTATTAGTTAAAAAAAAAGATCAAAGAAAATTCCTAAAATGTTTAGAGTATTCCAAGACTAATAAGGAGAGCTGTCACAATATTATTGAAACTATGTTTACTGACTGAAAGTAGATATTAGAAAGTGAGAACAAATTGCTTCTTTCTTTGAAATAATCCTACAGAGTCATTTGTTCCCATTGAATCTCACAAGTATTAGAAGATCCTTTGAAAATTTCTTGGGCAACAATGTATTCAAAGATGTTACCCTTTGAATAAATAAGAATAAATAAACAAATAACTAATAAACATGTCCATCTTCATTCTAAAAGGATCAATATTTCCAACATCAAATTATGTCATTAAATTTTTTAAATTCTTGTTTTGTAGGTGGAACTACAACCCAAATATGAAGACAACCTTTACATGTATCTTTACTTTGTTATTTTCATCATCTTTGGGTCATTCTTCACCTTGAATCTATTCATTGGTGTCATCATTGATAATTTCAATCAACAAAAAAAGAAGATAAGTATTCATAACATTGCCTAATGTTTTGGCGGTGTGGGAGTGAGGGTGGGGATGTTGTGTTCTGGGACTTCACTGGGTCAGAGAATGCCTGGTTTGGAAGACACTTCCTCCAATGCACATCAGCAATTCCTATGTAATTTATATTCTCAGTGAATTTCTCAGGTCACCAAGAGGTTAACCTATACAGCTAGTGTGTCAGAGGCTGGACTTGAACCTCGGTCTTCCTTCAGAGGTTATTGACTATCATAGACCCCTTCACCAATCTTGGTGAAGCCTTTGAACCCCTTCCCAGAAGAATGTGTTTAAATGTGTAAAATATATCAGGTTACAAAGAAAACCAATTATTTTGAAATATATTTACAAAAGAATTTTTTTTTTTTTTTTTTTTTTTTTTTTTTTTGTAATTGACAGACTCCAGGTTGAGAACCTTTGTAACTAATCCAAGGTCATCCTTCTGTCCACTATCCCAGTGGTGTCACATTCAAATAGAAATGGATCCATTGATCCACATATTGATGTAGAAAACCATAAATTAACATCATCTATATTGTATTTTTATTTATTTTGCTAAACATATCCCAATTATATTTTAATCTGGTTCCCAATGGAGTTTTGTAAGGATTTTGACACCTCTGTATAATATCATGCTACTTCTTCCTAATCTGCTAAAATAGAAAAATCAATATTAGTAGTTTTGTTCCAAAATAAGAATTATAGAGCTCCAGAATTGGAGGGAACCCCAGTGGTTGCCTAATCCGACCTGTACATTGCAATGATAATGTCCATAATTATAATGATAGTTATCATTTAGATAATACTTTAAGGTTTGCAAAATGCTTTATAGATTTTATCTCATTTTATCCTAACAAGAACCCTGGGTCATTAGTGTTATTATTATCACATTTTACAGATGAGAAAGTTGAGGCTTAGAGAGATTAAGATGACATGGCTAGGGTCACACAGCTAGTCTGAGGCCAGATTTTAACTCGGGGCTTCCAGACCCTAGGCCCAGCACTCTATGCATAATGCTACCTATTTGCCTCATGATGGGGGAAAAAAAGGTAAAAAATCCATTTTGCTACCTATCTGACAAATGGGGATCCAGTCTTTTTTTTAAAAATCTCCAGTGAGAAGTACTATACCACTTCCTGAGGTTACCCATTCCTTTGGGGGGGACTAATTTTCTAGAAATTCATAATTATTAGAAAGCTTTTCCTGAAATCAAACCTGAATTTGTCTCTTTCCAGCTTTTGCCCATTTTTCCAAATTACACCATCAGGGAGCAAACAGAATAAGCCTAATCCCTCTTCCACATGAGAACCCTTATGAGTTTACTACCATAAGCAGTGGTCTAATCCCTGCTTTATCTTCCTCAATTCTCTCAATATGGCTTTAAACACACACACACCCCTTTTTTGGTGTTCTTAGCTTCCCATGCAAGCTTCAGTTCATTTAGAGCTCTAGCAACATGGACATTATTCTTACAATATCAGTCCACACTTTTATATTTGTTTTGTTACCTACACTTTTATATCTACATTGATCGGTAAATATCTTCATACTAGTCCTATTTTCATTGTTTCTCAGAATTGTTTCTCTTTGAATTTTTAAAATTTTCATTCTTGAGAGTTTCCTATACATCCTGAGCTAACCTCCTCTGCAAATTTTAGTGCCTCTTCTTACCTGTCTTTCTCACCTATCCTTCCTTTGAACTCTTTGAAATATGTTCTTACCAAACCTAGCATTCATATCAGACTATGCCAGATTCCCTTCTCTTTCTCTATTGGATTCTCTAAGATGGAGAACTCTTCAGTTCTTACTGATTCAGTCATCATCTGTATATCCTCTATATCAAAAATTACTGGAATGTACTGCCTCCACATCAGTGCTCTCCCTCCCCAACTACTTTGTATTTATTCTTTTTAATATGCATGTGTCCACCATTATCATGTAACTTCCTTGAAAACAACTGTTTCATTACTAGGGCCTACAACAGCACCTTGAACATAGTTGTGACTTAATGACTATTGATTTATAGATTCCTAAATCTACACAAGCAGCCATCATCTCCCTCATAAGCTCCAGTTTTGTATCACTAACTAAGTGCCTGGTATCTATCCCTAGATGTCTCATAGGCATCTCAAATTCAACATGTCCAAAATGGAACTAATTATCTTCTTCCCCCAAATCCACTCTTCTTAATTTCCCCGTTTCTGTTGAGGTATCACCACTTTCCAGTAACTGGGATTCACAACCTCAGAGTCATTAACCAGTTGTTAGCATTACCTACCCTAATGCAAAATTACTTTGCATTTGCTTCGTTAGGACCCAGCATATGATTTCATTGGTGCGTAGAACTGGCATGGAAGACACTTCCTTTACTAATGTGGATCGGTAACTGCTCTACAACTTAAAGCTTTAGAAAATTTTCAAAGGAACTAAGAGATTAAGTGCATTAGCTCGGGTTACACATCAGTAAATCTCAATGGTGGTACTTTAACCCAGGTTTTTCTGACTCTAAAGAACAGTTCCCTATTCACTACATCAAGCTAATCACTTCACATATATTTAGTATTTTATATTGTTGTTCACATTGTCTCCTCCAAGTAAATGAGAAGGTCCTTGAGGACATGTACTGTTTCATTTTTGTTGAATTGAATTCCTTCCATTATTTCTGCCCCAGCAACCAGCTCCTCCATATGAGTAAGAACCATATCCAGAAGATAATTTCCCTTTCACCTTTTGAAAGATAACATCATTAAAGCAAATCAACAACTTATTAGTGCTCTGTTTTTGGCAGACAGAGTAAGTTTCAGGAGATAGATAGCTGATAGCTAACTGAAACTTTCACTACTAATGGATGATACATCTGTGCCAGGTTTGTAACTTCTTTCCTCACGATTTCATATTGGTGCCACGGCAGAAAGTAGAAGAGCCGTTTTTACATCCTTAAAATTCCCAAGAGTGTGTTCTCTGTCTCCTTCCTCAAAATCTTTTAGACCTAAGGTGTCCAACACATGACCTGCATATAGCCTACAACCCTCCTGAGTGTGGCCCAAATTAGATTAAGACATGATTTGGAATTTTTTTAAAATAAATTAAAAATACAATGAAAGATAGAAAAATATATAATTTAAAATTAGATCAATATCTGAATACCTGAATTAGATCAATACCTGAAAAAATATATAATTTAAAATTAGATCAATATCTGAATACCTGAATTAGATCAATACCTGAAGAAATTCTTCTGTATGGATTAGTGGTCTCTGTTTCTATTTCAGTTTGATACCACTGCTCTAGGCCATGCGCCTTTATGGAATTTTGATTCTATATTCAAAAGGTTAGAAGTTAACACATTCTTGCATATTGCCTATGTTTTGTGCATTTGTGTAGAAAAATGTGAGGCCATGGGTTTTATTACTCATTTCTTTTTTTAGCTTTTGTCTCCTATGCGCTTCTGGGTATCTCCAAAGCTTTTCTTCCTACATTGTAGCTATTCTCTGTGGAGTTTAGCTTAATAGAAGTGTTTGGGGGTTTCTTCTTCCCCCTCCTTTTTCTGTTTAAAATCCTTTAAATTAGATTTGCAAAATGTCACATAAATACACTCATATGTTAACGTACTCCACCCTTGTCTTGATGAAGATCATTTCTGTAGTTTAAGCTGTAATCCAGAAATAGAAATCCCATCTTCAGATGCCATCTTCTTGGCCATTCACTTTCCATATCTGATTTTCTCTTTTGCATCCCTTGCATTCAGTGGAAAACAGTGATGAAGACAGCATCTCTTCCCCATAGTCTTTAGCTTCCTGCCCAATCGATCAATAAACAATTCTTAAGTACCTACTATGTAAAACTTTGCCATCTTTGTCAGGACTTTCTAATTTCCTTTTGGCAATGTCATCTGTATCTCACTTAGAGCTGGGAGTCATCAGGCATGGCAAGTCTTAGGAAGATCTCTATCAAGTCTTGGATACTTGCCCCAGTAGACAGCAGATGTCCCTGTTGTTACCAGGTCGACAAATAACCACCTTTGTTGCCCTCTACACAAAGTCACTAACCGTTACAACTCTTCTGGTTGATCTCTTAGCTTATAGTGCTGGTGGATCTATTATATCTTTGCCCTGAGAACAAATATCTGCTCCCTCTTAGCATTCAGCTCCCTTATCTTCAATAAGAGCCTCAAATTTATTTGGGAATTGTTGCTAGCACCAGATGTTTAATGTTGTTTTCCCTCCCTCTTCTGTGTGACATTATTCCATTCTTCCATCTCCTGCCAAAGTTCAAGATTCACCTTTGTGTCTTCAGATGCTTTAACTTCTTTATTTTCACATTGAACTCCTACTTTTTAAAAAATAAACTCTTCCTTGTTCCTGATAACTTGGTGCATGGAAAGGCATTTCTCAGGCCCTCTATCTTGTCTTCTAGGTACCAGAACAGCCTGTAGTTTGAGCTTACATAGCAATACTGTGAATCTGGAACCAAATGGTAAAAAGGGCATAAAAATGTAGCTTATTTTATCTAAAGTAATAGAATTATTCTCTTGAGTTCTTGGGTATATTTGTGGGAGAAACAAAAAAGTTACTAGATCATTGTCTTATCCCAGGAAATTGCTTTTTTTAAAGACTGTACAAAACCAGTCTAACATGCTAGTCAGGGGAAATATTAATACGTGAAACTTTTCAATCTCAAGATAAAACCTACATCTACTTTTAAAGCTTCTACTTCTGTTTCCTTTTTCATAGTTTTCCTACTGTAAATCTTTAAGTCTGAGGGATTAAATTTTGAATAGAGAGACAATATTAACCAGTTTTTATTTCATTTCTATACTTTGGAGGCCAAGACATCTTCATGACAGAGGAACAGAAGAAATACTACAATGCAATGAAAAAACTGGGGTCCAAGAAACCACAAAAGCCAATACCACGGCCAGGGGTAAACCATGCTATTACTTTTATGCAAATAGAAATAAATTTTAAAAATTGTTCTTTCATAAGATTGTAAATGCAAGGATTACTTAAACTTGAATATTTCAAGAAGACATGATTTCACTGGTATGGCCACTCTGTTCCATCAATTCAGACAACAAACCCTCTAGGCCTCGATGCACTGTCATCAGATAGTAACTGGCTGAAAAATGCATTACCTGCAGCCAAAATGGTGCTGAAACTCTGAATTTAGTTTGGCTGGTGCTATGGAAACAGACCTCCAGTTGTCCTTCTCTGCCCTTTTGAGCTTGTTAGGTCTTGACAAAGCTTGAATTCTCTTGGCATACTCCTTGAGACCCCAATCTCATCTCCGTGGCACAGAAAGGCATCTGAATAGAGCTTGGGTAGAAAGTTATCATCAGACAATTCCAACATCAAATAGTTTCCCAAAATCAATGATAATTACTGGAAGCTTGCTGTGTGGTAAAAATTACTCAGTACTTTAAGAGAATATAAAAGAAACAGAAAAAAAGAAACAGTCCTCCTCTCAAGGAGTTTATACTCTAGCTAGTCAGATTAAAAAACCATTCTAATTGTTATGTTAGGCACAAAGGTGCTGCTGCTGCTCAGTAATCATTACTGACAATTCACACTTATATATCTCATCATGCATGCTGTGACAATCAATTGAGTAAAACATTTCTAATAATAGCTAACATTTATATAGTTCTTTAAGGTTTACAAGAAATACTTCACATTATATAATCTTGCTTGATCTTCACAGCAACTTTGTGAGGTATGTGCTATTATTATCCCCATTTTACAGATGAAGAAACTGAGGCTCAGGAAGGTGCCTTGCCCAGGATCACACAAGTTGAGAGAAGGGATTTGAATCTACACCTTCCTGCACAATAGCCATTGTGCCACCAAGCTTCCTTAATACAATATCTGCCTAACATTTTTAAGTCACTGATCACAACACTGCAAGATAATTAATGTAAACATTATTCCCATTTTACAAATTAGCCTGAGGTTAAGGGAGATTAAGTGACTTGCTCAGGGTTAAGCCATGAAGCAGAACCAAGATTTAAACCTAGGTGTTTTGACTCTAAGTAAGGTGTTCTTTCCTTTGTGCTTCTTACATAGAAATTAAGAGTGATTATTTAGAAGACTTTAGAAATGAATAGTAAGGCAATGTAGAATGCCCCAAAGGGCATTAGACTTGACATCAGAACGCTAGGTTTCAAGGCCTGGTTCTTTCACTTACTGTATTACTTTCTCCAGGTCACATAATCATTTTGTCTAGTTTCCTTGTTCGTAAAATTCGGATGATCATACTTGCACTGTGTTCCCTATAGTAACATGAGTGCTATTGGTGGTGGATAAATATCCAGCAACCACAGCCAAGAATTCACATTCATGTGACGCACTGCATATGTTATGACACAGTGCCTAACCCATAGCAAATATTTAATAAATCAATGTAGGACTGCTATGATGTGAACATTTTGTAGACTATATTTCTTTTTCCAAATTTTCCTATTTCCTGCTGCTGTGGGTACTTCCTCTATTAACACAAATAACAACCCTCTGAACCTTAATAGATAATGCTCAAGAGTTGTTTTGTTAAGTCTCTCTGAACTTAGGCAAGGGATACAGTGTATCACCAGGCTCAGACTGGAAGCCTTTTCAGCTTGAAAGGATGTGCCAAAGCTTGCACTAAAGTTATCCCTTTGAAAATCCGAGATCATTCCTATAACTAACTTCTCACAGTGAGGACTTCAGTAGAGGGCAGACAAACAAAACATGACTTAAATGTGAGCTTTTTTTAGTTTCTGCTATTGATAGATAAATAATAACTCCTATTTCTATGAAGAACTAGGTAAGCTACTCTCTGGGAATAAACTTGCCACCTGTAAAAAGTAAAAATGTGTCTAACACATCAGGGAAGCCAAGTACCTTGAAAATTGGTAATCTAGAAAATCATTCACCTTGTGTTAGAAAGAGGGGAATTCCTTAAAAATAAACTTAGGTTATTCCAAATGATAATAACAGAGGCAACATGGTATCATGGAAGGGTGCTTGGTTTGGACTCAAAAGACTTGGTTACAAAAGGCCTGGGTCCTAACACATCATAATTGGAAGCTTATTTTCTGATAAGTAATTTGATATGCAATATGTAATACCTGTAGCACCCAATTGTTGTGAAGAAAGCACTGTATCAATCTTCCAGTGCTACATAAATGTCAGCTATTATTATTATCATTATTTTTTTTAAGAACCGGGAATAGAATGCAGCTCTCCAAGAGCTGACAAAACACTCTACTACATAATTTTGCTTCCATGATTCCATGCTTCTTGGAGTCAGTTGTAAAAAATAGTGCTGCAGTGCTAGGCATGATTACTAAAGTGATTTCTCCTCTTCAGAACAAATTCCAGGGAATGGTCTTTGACTTTGTGACCAGACAAGTCTTTGATATCAGCATCATGATTCTCATCTGCCTCAACATGGTCACCATGATGGTGGAGACTGATGACCAGAGTGATGATATGACTAGCATTCTATCCCGGATTAACCTGGTGTTCATTGTCCTCTTCACTGGAGAATGTGTACTGAAGATGATCTCCCTCCGCCATTACTACTTCACCATAGGATGGAACATTTTTGATTTTGTGGTGGTCATTCTCTCCATTGTGGGTAAGAAGGAGTTGGTTTCATCTTATTTTAGCCTTTCATAAAAATGAAAGGCTTAATTATCGAGTGTAGAGTGACTGACAATAGATGATGATAAGAATTCATCTTTAATTCATATTTAGCCTTGAACACTACAAGGTGTCCTCTGAGAAGACTTGAGAGTTTTATATTCTCCTCATATCTAAAATATATTTTTCCTAGAAAAAAACAAGGTATTTACATAATGTATTAGTGCTTTTTTGTTCATTTTAAAGGTTTTACATGCATTTTATTTCCATTTTTAAAAGATTAAGGGTTTAGTCAAACACATATTTACAAAATTCAGTTTTGTCCATTTAAACATATATTTTTCTTGTCATCCTGGGTTTAACTGTCTACCTCACAGAGTTCTCTGCTTCTGGGAAATATTTTCCCTTAGAAATTCTGTCAAAAGGGTCTGGCCTTGACAACTGTTCACAAAGTATTCAGTTCAGTTCATTGAAACTCACAGATATGCATCCCCAAGTCAACAACCTACTATCCCTAACTGGGGTTTCAGTTGATAACAATATCTAGAATGGGTGTTTTTTTCTAGGGCAGTTTTATAGAAATGTTCCTCCCAGTAGATTCATTTCCCAGGTTCCAAGTCACTTGCAGAGATTCCCAGAGGTAATGCTGCTTAAACCTGCTAGTGATGATACTAAGTATAATTTCATAGGGCCTGACAAAACCTACTGAAACTGGCCTTTCAGTAATTATTTTATGTGATTAAAGCCAGTTCAAACCTTATGGAGTTAACATTATAAATGACAGCACTATAGGAAGAACATCAAATTAGGCTGCCTATAACTTATCTGAAAGTTCAGGGAATTTCAGTCATCACATACCATTTGTTTTTTCTATGTGTACCTGAACCCTGTACATGATATGGATAATGCTATCCATAAGCCAAAGAATTAGACTTTGTTAAAATAAGTTTTGCTATCTCTTGATATTATCAGGAAGAGAAAAAGATCTCAAACAGAAAAAAGATCAACAGATTTTTTGAAAAGCCCAGAAAATAAGATACAGACCTTTTTTTAATCATTTGAAGTTTTAGTAAGAAAAAAATTAGCTATGATGTTAAAAATTGATTCTTTATAATTAGTAACTCCCTAGTGTTGTCCAAATTTGAAAACTGGCCTGTTAACCAAACAATTAGAACACACTGCAGACTTTATTTTTTTTAATTACAAGCACTTAAATATCTTTCTTGTTCTGAAGTACTGTGAACAACCAGTCAATTTAATGTATGAGCTTCAACAAATTAAGTCAAACCTTTTTCCTAAAGTTTAGTGCTTTAAGGTTTTGTGACTATAAAAATTCATCATGTGGGACTCTCTACTTGTGGTCATCCTGAGGACCACAAGTATTTTCTTCTCTTTTCCCTATGTATGCACTTCTAGGTATAGGAGTTTTAAAAGTTTCTTGACAATTAAAAATAATTTATATGTGAAAGCTTCTATCCAACTTGGGACTTTATCAACAATTACTAAAACATATCCAAAAGCCTATCATTAAAACATATCTAAAGCCTTTTAGAAAAATTTTTTTCAAAACTTATTTCTAAAACATCTGTGTGGATAGGCATCTGTGAATATTCATATGTACATGAAAGAAATCCAGTAGTTCCCTAGTACCTTCAGGGTAGAATTTTAAAATATGTAATTTAAGAGTACTTAACCTTTTCCATTGTTTTTCACTGGCACAACAGCAGAAAATTTAAGGATATTAATACAACTATAGCTATCTCAGGAAGTTTTAGGCATATTCCTTTAACCAAAGAAACATGTGGGAGCCAATCATATATATCCTAGTTATCAAGTGGAAACACTCTAATGTTGTTACCTTCACCAAAGTAAACTTCACTACCACATTAAAGAACAAAATAAAACTTTTCTATCTTTATCACATCACATCTTTATCCTATCCCCCTTTGAGGATGTGTGTGTGTGTGTGTGTGTGGAGAGAGAGAAAGAGAGAGAGAGAAAAAGAAAGAGAGAGAGATGTATATAATCCTATCCCTCTTTGAGGGTATATATTATCTTCATATCATCCAAAAAGATGTGATACTATGCAATCTTAGACACAAATAACTATTAAATATTGAGCAAATCTAAGAATGGATTTTCCCTAGTCACGCAGATGAGGAAGTTAAGACAAGAAATGAGCACAAAGATAAAATGGTAAAATCAAAACAACAGGATCTTTTGTACTTGTACCCTATTATAGCAGTTCAGAGACGCTTACTGATTATAATGAAAAGATCCATTATAAAACATTTGTAGTTCTCTTGCCATTGCCAGAGAAAGTTGTTAAAAAAAACGAGGAAGGATAATATTGCAAAAAAAAAAAATCAGGACTATTTCCTTAGGCTTAAGGATAGCCACAGACTAACCTATCATCAGTCTATACAAGGAGAAAAAAAAATCCCAAAACTGTTTGATTTCAAGTAAAAGACATAGATACCTTTGGAACAGCCAATTATTCAACATAGTTCCACATTTTCAATAAGGTATCCCAGTCAGGCTCAGAATTAACCAGATGGGAAACATTCGTGTTCAGAAGGAAACAGCATGGTGGGGGAAACTGAGTCAATAGGCTCCTACCATTACCCATGTAAAGCCATCTCCTTGACCTTCCCAGTCATTAGCATTCACCAACAGCACTCTCCAGAAAAAACTTTTCTGAGCCTTTCCCTTGAATGGTGGAGTACTGGCATAGCAAAAATAGTTATACCTAAATTTAAAATTTAGAGCAAACCAAATTACAGTTTCATCCCACATAGCAAGTTCTACTACATACAGTTTTTTTTTTATCAAGCAATAATAGTTGGATAAAAATTAATACACTAGAGTGTTAGGGTGAATGTCTCACGGTCTCATGAGAGCTCTGTTGAGGGAACTTTCCCATGGGAGTTCTAGCTTCTATCAGTAGAAGCTGAGGGTCACAACATAGTTGCGTGGCAAAAATAAGGAAGTCTCCCAGGACCTCTCCTTTGCTGACATGCAGCTCCCACAGTTGTTTTGGCTCTCCTCTCAATGGGAGATGAGTCCTGACACGAGCTCCAGCAGACCTGATGATTGGCTATCACAGGGGGATCACGCTTTGAACATGCATCACTAGGGCCATAAAAGACAGCTAACTGCACTCAATAAACGGAGCTTCTGCCACCTTGCTGTCTCCCGCCTCATCCATGCATCTCTGGGTTACAGAGCATTGAACTGGTCTCATGCTCATCACTGCAGTGGCCACGTCACTAGAGGGCAGCTAGGTGGTGCAGTGGATAGAGCACTGGCCCTGGATTCAGGAGGACCTGAGTTCAAATCCTACCTCAGGCATGTAACACTAGCTGTGTGACCCTGGGCAAGTCACTTAACCCCATTTCCTAACCAAAAAATAATAATAATAATAATAATAATAATATACTAAAAACATTCATAGAAAATACTTGTTGGGTGCATACAAGGTCTTTCAAAAAGCACTCATTCCTCATTTTACTTTTCTAGTTTAAATATATCCTGACATAAAAATCAATTAAGAAGAAATTTTAAAATGTTCCCATTTTGGAGATTTATACATAAAGTGAATACATAATTATTCACTAATAACCCAGAACAAAATACTGGTCACTGTTAGCTTGGAAGTACCAAGGTATTCAGGTAAAACTAAGTTGGCTCAAAGTTGTGATTTTAATACATACTATTCTAGATGTAATTCCACAATTTTCAGGGTCAGTGACCAGACAATTTATCACATAATAAATAAATTATTCTCTACTTTATGATATGTGGGTTGGGAGAAGAGCTTAATATTTCCATAAGATAATGATTCAAGTCACTTATAGTCTCAGCCCTTATTTCCATACCTTTTACACAGAGCTGATAAGAAAAATTTAGTGGGTTTAGCAAAGACATCTCACAGACAATGGGATTTCCAAGTATACCAGAAGATTCCCATCAAAATAGTATAGATCCTCTTTAACTAGAAGGGCACTCAGCCATCCAGATTAAAAAAAAATCAACAGTTCTTCCCAAGTAAATAAACCAGAGCAGTCCCCTTTATACATTCAGGACTATCTTTAACTATTACAGTATAATCACAGCATTCAGATTAAATAAATTATCTAGAATAAACTATTATACTCTAGGTATCATTATCTCAAATTAATAATATTTCTTATATAATGGTTTCCCAAAATTGCAATGGAAGAAATTAAGCATAGTAACACAATACCAGAAATTTAAAACAGACCTACAACAAACTTATTGCCAAGAAAATGACATTAATTATAGCTGAACACGTTTCTGAATTATCTGAAAAAAAATTCATTGGTCTATCAAGTTAGGCATTCTATACCAGGTATTCAGAAATCAATATACAATAATTATAGTTGTACTTATGGTTACAAAAGTGGCTCTTATTCTTGTAGTCTATAAACATTTTACCTTAATGCCAAATTTCAAATGTATTTTCCATCGAGATCTATTTTACTGTAGAGGATCAAATCTCACAGTCCTTCTAAGAGGAAAAAAAAAAAAACACCTCTCACTTTAAATGAGATTGCATTACAATATTGTTTCTAGGGTCCCTTGCTGGAAACTAGCACGAGATACAGACAGACAGGTAAACCTCAGTTATTCACCCAAGAGTTTGACACACCCCATCAATAGATGATGGATGTGTGTGTATCAGTTTCAGAGATGATATGCCTGTATTTCCTCTGGAGCTGTGTGAGCTAGAGAGAACAATAGCTTCTTATAAAGCAAACATTCACTTAGAGTCAGACGCTGAGTTGGAGAAGACAGATATTAAACCAAAAGAAGTGCTTAAATTGTTATAAAGGAAAGAATGTGTCTTAGCCTAGCTCCTTATTCTAGATCAAAGGAAAAAGAGTCTTCTTTATCAAACAGTATTTGTCAAGAGTCTACAATATGCTTTATCAGATAAGACAAAGAGAACAGGATGACTTTCCTGGAACTATTTTAAGTCTTTCTATTGGTCCTTCAAAGAAAAGAATATAGAAGGTTATACTGAAATAATTCCATGCTGCAAATTCATTTTGAAATTTTTCACTTGCAAAATGTTATGATTGAACAGAATTCTGTTAATTTTAAACTGTGCTATGATTCTAACCCATTTTCCTATATCAAGAAAAAATCTAAATAGCTAAAATGAAACTCAGAAATCATGAAAAGGCTCAAAATTAATCATAACCAGCGTGACTGCAAATAATGTTCACAAATGTATAGGCATAGAAATCTCCTGACTCCCCTCTGATCACAATGAGATTGAAAACTTCCTGAAACTTTCCCTTTCTGCCTCTGGACTCTGATTAAAGTCCTATCAACTTCTTTAACATTCTACTAACCCTCACTACTTTCTCAATCCCTCAGTCTATATATTTCCCAATCATAGCTTAAACCTAGCCTAGTCTCCTTTCTGCCACTGAATCTCTCCTTTGAAAATTAGCACTATATCAATTCAACTGAAAGTTTCAACACTTTTCCTTGACTTAAATTGGAGCTCCTGTGACTTTGAAGACCTTAGAACATATTTCAAATATTCTTCCTTCTCTCTCAAGCCAAATCCTGACTTTTTTTGAGGCTCAGCCTATAAAGATGCTTATCTACTCTGAATTCCTAAAGAACTTGTTCATATAGTTCAACAGTTCTCAAATTATAGTCTCAGGACTCTCTGAAAATTATTTGGGACTTCCCAAAAAGCTTTTCTTTATGAGTGTTATATCTATATTTACCATATTAGAAATTAAAAGTTCTTAATCTTATTATGAAAATAGTTTTAACCTTACAGATCCCTTGAAAGAATCTTGGGGGCTCCTTGTGGTCCCAGACCACATTTTGAGAACCAGTAATAGTCTATAGTACTATAGTATATTTCATGTAGAGCCTTCACATAAAATCATTGTGTATTTTTAAACATACTTTAAATGTTTAGGCTTTCATTAACTAAGGCAGTAGGGATGATGGAAACAACCTAAAAATTACAATTAAAGACAAATTGAACTTTTTTCTTACAACTGATGTAGCTTGTGATTCTGCTGGTCAGACAATACAGTCGACCTCTTCATCTGTAAAAATCATTTTTCCTTTGTCTAAGGATGAGACATAAGACAGAATCATAAGCACGTGTAGAGTATGTTTATCATAAAGTATAATAACCAACAAGTTGTTATTAAACTTTTGAAGTGCACAAGGAAATTCTGCTAATTGCATTAAATTGTTTTCTAGTTGTTTCACACACATACATCTTTTATCTATTATTGTATGGTAAGTTCCTTGAGAGTTGAGAACAGGACTACTACTTTTGTTGGCTCTTCCCTTGGCACATAGTAGGTGCTTAATAAATGCCTGTTTTCTTCCTTCCTATGGATTATGCCTACAATGGGCATATAATCAATAAAATGAGGGGATTGAACTTGGCAACTTCTAAAATTCCTCCTATCTCTGATTCAATTCAATTTAATAAATAAATATTTATGAATGCCTTCTATGTGCAAAGCACTGTTAAATGTTCTAAAATTCTGAGTCAGTCAAACTAATAAATGCTAAATAAATGAATGATTGTTAAAATGTATTCACTTATTAAAATTAAACTGAATTTGAAGTTGAATGAATTTTGGTAACCAGATCAATTGGTTAATAATTTTGTATCTTTCAAAGATAAAAAAAGAATTCTTATATTAATATTTTTCCTTCACTTTTAATTTTTTAACAGGGATGTTTCTAGCAGAGCTGATAGAAAAATATTTCGTGTCCCCTACCCTCTTCCGTGTAATCCGTCTTGCCAGGATTGGACGAATCCTTCGTCTTATCAAAGGAGCAAAGGGAATCCGAACACTCCTCTTTGCTTTAATGATGTCCCTCCCTGCTCTGTTTAACATCGGGCTCCTGCTCTTCCTGGTCATGTTTATCTATGCTATCTTTGGAATGTCCAACTTTGCCTATGTCAAGAGGGAAGTTGGAATCGATGACATGTTCAACTTTGAGACCTTTGGCAACAGCATGATCTGCCTCTTCCAAATTACCACATCTGCCGGTTGGGATGGTTTGCTTGCACCCATTCTTAACAGTGGACCACCAGACTGTGACCCTCAAAAAGTTCACCCTGGAAGCTCAGTCAAAGGAGATTGCGGCAACCCCTCAGTTGGGATTTTCTTTTTTGTCAGTTACATCATCATCTCATTCCTGGTGGTTGTAAACATGTACATCGCTGTTATCCTAGAAAATTTCAGTGTTGCTACTGAAGAAAGTGCTGAGCCACTAAGTGAGGATGACTTTGAGATGTTCTATGAGGTGTGGGAGAAGTTTGATCCTGACGCCACTCAATTCATGGAATTTGAAAAACTTTCTCAGTTTGCAGCTGCACTGGATCCACCTCTCAATTTGCCACAACCAAACAAAATTCAACTTATTGCCATGGATTTGCCCATGGTAAGCGGAGACCGAATTCACTGCCTTGACATCCTGTTTGCTTTTACAAAACGTGTTTTGGGAGAGAGTGGAGAGATGGATGCTCTCCGAATACAGATGGAAGAGAGGTTCATGGCATCTAATCCTTCCAAAGCTTCCTATGAGCCAATTACCACGACACTGAAAAGAAAACAAGAGGAAGTGTCTGCTGTTATCATTCAACGGGCTTACAGACGTCATCTTTTAAAGCGAACGGTAAAACAAGCCTCATTTACTTATAACAAAAATAAACTCAAAGGTGGGGCAAACCTTCTGGTGAAAGACGACATTCTTATTGAAAACTCTATCACAGAAAAAACAGATCTGACCATGTCCACGGCGGCTTGCCCACCTTCCTATGACCGAGTAACAAAGCCAATCCTGGAGAAACATGAGAGAGAAGACAAAGATGATAAGGCCAAGGGAAAGTAAACAAAATCAAATAAAAATGATTGTGTGACAAATTGTTTACAGTCTAGGAAGGTGATGTATTTTTGTCAACAGGACTCCATTCGGAGGTCGATGCCAAACTGACTGTTTTTACAAAAAATACACTCTAAGGTCAGTGCCTATAATAAGACAGTGACCCCTCTGTGACTGAATAAAGGGGAGACCACCTTGACAAGAGGTTACTGTTCTCACTACCAGCTGACACTGCTGAAGAGAAGAGACAAATGGCTACTCAGACTGTAGGGACCAGTTTAAAAAGGGGTGCAAACCTAAAATTTTGGGTGGGGGTAACATAAAATACTTTAGTATAGTAATTGTATCCACTGTTTGCATCTCAACTGCCACATTTGTCATATTTTTACAAAATCTGTTAGTGGATTCATCTTTTTTTTAATTCATATGTTGTTTATTATATGTGACTGTTATATGTGACTATTTTTGTAAATGGGATTTATGTTGGGAAAAGGGGTTAAGAACTACTTTTCAGGTATGACCTCTGAGGGTTCTACCCTATGGATCCTCCAATATACACAAAGAAATGGTTTGCATGAAGGCATGCTGCACTTAGAGATCTTGCATGAGAAAAAAGTTATAAGGAAATCAATGGATTTTTCAATTACTTCAGTGTTTCTGGGAGGGGAGTTGGGTAATAAATTGGAGGTGCTTATCTGATTGTGTTTGATCAAAGCCAGATAAGTCTTTTTATACCCAGAAAGCCTCCCCCATCCCCACCCAAGAACATAATAAGTGGATTGTTTTTAGGCAGGCCATTATATCTCAGTAGGTGCAAACTTCATACAAATGTCTGGAGTCACAAATGTTATGTTTTTCTTTATTGTGTAAAACAGAACACTGAATAACCTAATGAGGCTGCCCCTGGAAAATAGAATTGACCAAAAGAACCTTTATAAAGTTCTGCTTAATCCTGTACTTTGTTTAGCCATCTTCAGCTCTCAACAAGGTTGACATGTCCGTGTTAACAAAATGCCCTGTGTTATGTAAATAGACATTTTACTCTGTGGTGCATGTTTGAGCAAACAAATAATGACCAGAGCACAGTATTTATTGCATCAAATATGTACCACAAGAAGTGTAGAGTGCAAGCTTTCAACAGGTAATATAATGTATTCTGTACCATTAGGGATAGTTTGGATGCTATCAATGCATGTTTATATTGCCTATGCTGCTGTATCCAGCTTTTTCCACTGTTGAGAATCTCCTATATGAGAAACCATCTATCAGTGGTAAAGTCATGGAACTTGTCCAACAGAGCTCATTCCTTTAAATCATTAAGCAATAGTTTGCAGCACTTTAAGAGCTTTGGGGTTTGTATTTTTAAATTTTAAGTAAATAACTTACGGTGTATAGACAGACTGTACAGACATGAAACAAACTGCTTAACCTGTTAAAAATGTGTTTAGAATTTTATAATCAAATATAAATACTGTAAAAAACATTTTATTTTATTTTTCAGCATTATGTACATAAAACAAGAAATGAAAATTAACTTCAGGTTGATGTCATAGTCACTTTTCTTACTTTCTGTCCATAGCACTTTCTCATGGAAGAAATTTGCTAAGTGGGAAATGAAAAAACAAGGGTGGTTGTAGATTTCTGCTTTTTCAAATTATATTTGTCAATGTTAAATGATTTAAATTTAAAAAGAAAACAATGGGTTCACAAGTTGCTTCCACGTTATACTTTGAGATTAGAAAAAGGTGTGCATTTTTGTTGATAATTTCTGGAACTGCCTGCATCGACAATTTAAGGTGGTCATTCCCTTTGGTTCTAATCTTTAACCTTCCATTCTTTCTATTCCTTTGGAGTCATGCAGCACTAGAACTGTCTGAAACATAATATGGGTTCCACCATATTTTCTTTTTCACAAGAACCAAATAGTGAACTTGTATAATCAGTCACATCAGAACATTTTGTATTTCTTACACAAACTGTAGACTTCTTTTCCCCCCTTAAAACTACTTAAGTAAACTGTATTCGTGAACTGCATGCAGGAAAATGCTACTATTACCCTAAATGATGCTAAGCAACATTACAAATGCACCAAAATAATAAAGATTACTTTTTTATTGTATGTTTAGCTAACCTCTTTTTATCACTTTAAGGAATGTCACTTTATAATTACTGTAGGCATTTTATAATTATTAGTAAAGCAGAGAAGCTACCACCTCAGAGGAAGAAAAAAGGCAGAACAAGTTTTTAAAGCAAGAACTGGACTTGACTGGACACACACACATATACATACACACATTCAATATGCTGTAGCACTATATCATCAGAATCTAGACAGGCAATGAAGCATCGCAATGGATATGAACAGAGTGCTGGATTTGGAGTCAGGAAAATAAGTTTGAATTCTGCGTCATTTATTACCTATGTGACCCTTAACAAGTCACTTAAATTCTCTCGGACTCAGTTTCCTTATCTTTAAAATGTAGATAATGATAATAGTACCTACCTCACAGGGTTGTTGTGAGGATTAAATGAGATAACACATGTAAAGTGCTTTGCAAACTTTGAAGTGCTCTCTGACTGGTAGTTAATATGATTAGTATCTATTAGCCTCAGCTGGGTGAGAGAAATGAGAAGCATGACCTGAGCATATCAGAAGAAAGGTTTAGGAGCATTCAGCATCTTCCCACTGCTCTGGTCACTGCCTTTCTCTACAACACAGAACAACCAATTCTTTTGCTAGTAGAGAGATTCACTGATTTAACCAAGCTAAGCCAAAAATATGGGAGTGTCTCCAGTGGTTTTCGTAATCCACACAAATATTGCTGTTTGCTGGTTTCTTTCCAGAAACAAAGGGGTGGATTAAGCAGATTGTGAACATGTCATTCCAATAAGAGTTTTAAGTAAAATGATTCAGAAAGCTACTTATTCATTATAGCTAATGGTACTGTTTAGCATAATCATATTTAGGTCTCACTGAGATTTGAATTCTAAGAATTACAAAATTTTAGCCCTGAGAGGGACTGAGACAATGTAGCGCTATGGGAAGAATGCCAGATTTGGAGTCAGACATCTCTTTCCCTACCTGTGGAGCCATGGGTGAATCACTAAATCCTGCTTGGCCTCACTTTCTTCTTCTATACAACTGGGGAAAGGGGTGGTGGACTGAATAATTTTGAAAGTACCTTCCCATTCTAAATCCGTGGTCTTGGGAACTATCAAGTCCAGTTCCCTCATTTTACAAATGAAGAAGCTGAGGTTCATTTGAATTGTTGTCCTTAATTGTTACTTAACATGACCATTTGATTATAAGCCCTAAAATTTCCATTTCATACATTTTCTACTTCCCATTTTATATATTTTCTGCTACAATGATGATATATGTCCAGATATAAAACAAAACAGCAATAAAAAGGGGTCTTTTCCCCCATTCAACTGGTTCCTAATCTTATATTCCAACACAACTGAGATTTGGTAGAGATCCCAAGTTATGCCCATTCAAGGCACAAGGGACCAGATAAAGCATCTAGTCACTTACTTTATAGATGAGATCACTGAGGTCCTGAGAATTTAAGTAATGTTTTCCTTAACCAGAATGAGAAGTCAGGTTCCTTGATTCATAGTCCAGTGCTCACTTCACTTTAGTACACTGACGTCTGGGTTTGTGTCACCATAAAAAGGCATTACGTTATATATTATAACATTGGGTTTCATTTTTAAAATCATAAATGTAAGGGGACACTTTCCATTTTAAATTATACAGTCACCTATTTGTTAACATAAGTATATAAAAGCCATTCTCTAAAAGTGATTTTCCTGCTATTAGAAATTAGAGAAGAGCTACAAGTTGGACTATCTCTGTTGCAAAGTAGGTATTTGATAAATGTTATTGCTTGGTTGATTTGCCTCTAGCAGTAGAGATGCCTGTAGTTTTCTTGAGTCAGTTCTCTGTACTCAAGCAAACTGCTATCTAAATTAATAGGGCACTTTATTGTCTTTAACTCCACATCAATGATTTAGTCCAGGGGTGGGGAACCTGCGGCCTCAAGGCCACATTTGGCCCTCTAGGTCCTCGGGGCAGCCCTTTGACTAAGTCCAACTTTTACAGAACAAATCCCCTGCAAAAGTTGGACTTGGTTAAAACAAATCCCCTTAATAAAAGGATTTGTTCTGTAAAAGTTGGACTTAGTCAAAAGGCTGTCCCTGAGGACCTAGAGGGCCATATGTGGCCTCTAGGCTGCAGGTTCCCCACCCCTGGTTTAGTCTTTATATAATTCAATGGAGCCATGATCTCATGGATGTGAGTCCTCCATACAATAAGAGAATGGCAATCCACTCATTCCTTCTAACCCCATGTAATTCTTGTCCATGTCCTGCCCTATGGGAGGTATGGGTGGACTAAGGGCTTCTCTCTAGGTCTTTAAATATTCTGTAGTCACCTGTTTTGTAGACTACACTATTCATCTGTCATCTCTTGCTTTTACCACATGACCAATACTCACTACTTGTCTTTCTAATAGCACAATTTCTTGATATAGTTATGCCACTTATGTCCAAAACATTATTAGTTCTATGCTACCATTTCTTAAGCCCACCATAAAGCTCTCTATTGCTTTTTGGACACCTCAAACTTTGATTCTTCAGGATCACTTTGTAGTTTTGGAAGGATCTGTTGGCAAACGGCAATTTTCAGACAACCCCCAAATGATTTTATAATCCTCTCCCATTCTCTGTGATTCCTCAAGGATGATTAATCACACACAAAATTTTAGCAATCCCATATGCCAATTTTTTCATTCCCTTGGGAAATACTATAGTGGATGTGGTTTGACACAGTGGAGAGCTTAATTTTGAGTCAAAGGGCTTAGGTCCATTTTTGTATTCTGCCATTTCCTAGATGTATAAATTTGAACAAGTTGTTTAGTGACTCTGAGCCAGTTCTTTCATCTGTAAAATAAAGTTGTGGGGATAAGATTAAATCATGTAAACCACTTTCTGAATCTTGCAAGCACTATTTGAATGTAAGTTATTATGAATATTTTCAGGTCAAGTGACCAGGATTCAATCCTATCCATCTCCTGCTTTCAGATATGGGGATGGGGAGGTGGGGAGAAAGGAATTCACTTTCTAAGAAAGGCTAATCTGTGAAACTATTAATTCACTGACAAAGCTAGCAGACCCCTGGACTAACTCTCAACAATGATGTCTGCAGGTAGCCAGGTGAAAAAAAAACAACAACAAATAATTTAGAAGCTACACACCTATATGCATAATTTAATCAATTAAAGGGCAACTTTTAAGCAGTTGCTATTAAGGTGTTGTGGTAGGCTGAAAACCGCTCAAATAGATGATTTTTCTTGAGAGAACATGAAAGTAATACGCAATAATCTGCAAATCCATGGACTTTGGGGAAACTTTCTGACAGTATAAAATGTGTCTATCAAAATTATTCATAAACTGAGAATTAATTCTTAACAATAATTTTTAAAATATACATATGCAAGTATGTCTCTAAAAGAGATGGAATTAGAATACAACCCTACACTTGTCCTAGGCCTGTTAAGCATATTTTGTCATTAGGCACTCTCCACATCCAAGAAGACAGAGGAAGAGCTGTGGCTTGCCATCTTTCTGCCTCAAATGGCAAAACTATGATGCTTTATCTAATGAAGCTACCAGAAAAGAAAAACATGAAGAATAGAGGACCTATATTCTATGGCTTTTTCTCTTATCTTTTCCACCATTTCCAGTGTCTTACCACACCCTCTCTACCCTAGAACTTCCCTTGAGGACTATGTAAAAATCACACCTTTTTCTCAACTGTTTGCCAAATGTAAAGATCACCAGGATGCTGCCTCTTTTAAAAAGGGAAGATTTCTTTCAAACCAAAGAATTCTAGTTCTGTTAAGAAAATAAAGCCATTCATATGATTCTACTGCTGGCTCTTTTATAAGGCCTGTTGTCCTAGAAGGAGCCAAGTAGGAGAGGAGCTCCAAATAGCTAGAAGAAAATAGGTTGTCACTAGAGAGTTAGAATATTTCCAAGGAAGAAATATCAACAATATCAGAAATGCAAACAATACTACACTGATGGCAGAAGGAGAAGAAGAATTAAGAAGCTCTTGATGAGGGTGAAAAAGAAGAGTAAAAGCTGGCTTGAAGCTTAACATAAAAAAGCTAAGATCTTGGCAACTGATCCCATTGCTTTTTGGAAAACGGGGAGAAGAAATGGAAGCAGTGTCAGATTTCATATTCTCGAGCTCAAAGATCACTGCAGACAGCAACTGCAGCTATGAAATTAAAAGATGCTCCTTGAAATAAAAGCTATGGCAAATTTGGACAGCATACTAAAAAGAAGAGACATTACCTTGTCGGCAAAGGTCCACATAGTCAAAGGAATGGTTTTTCCAGTAGCAATGTTTGGCTGTGAGAGTTGGACTA